ATAAAAATGAAAATTGTGAAGCAAAATTGAGAAATTTCATCTACGAGGCGCTGCAAATTGAACACCATATAGAATTTGGTAACGTCCATAGATTTAGGAAAATTGGGTGGAATAGAGCCAAACCAATTGTGGCGCGTTTCATTTACCGACGCGACCTCTCATGCGTTCTCCAAAACGCATTTCGCCTCAAGGGAAAGCTATTTGGTATAAATGAACAATTCCCAGCTGAAGTTGAAGCTCGCCGTAGGAAACTCTATCCTGTTATGAAACAGGCGAAGCGAGAAGGAAATCAGGTGTCATTGGTACGGGACAAACTATTCATTAACGGAGAACAATTCGCAACCACCGAACAAAATAATATAGTGATCAGCACAGAGGGCATCCGAATGGAGGGTTCAAAGACATAATGATGACCCAAGCAAATACTAACGATCGACCTTAAAAACGATAAAGATCTGGTTCAAGCCCAAGTAGTGAATCAACTCTCCTATAGGAATGCCATGGAGACCATAACCAAAATTTTACAGATGTAACTTTTAACTATAATGATACTCTAAAGACTTCTAAAATTGTCCAAATTAGAAGTGATATAAATATTTTGTGTCTAAATTGTTGTGGTGTAAAAAAAGATTGAACTATCCTGAATTTCGATCATTGTTGAATAATAACGATATAATTTGTTTAGTTGAAACAAAAACTGACGATATAGATATTATTGATTTACCAGGTTATGAATTTAAAATGAAAAATAGAAAGAAAGTGTCGAGAAATAGGTCAGGTGGGATTACTTTAGGATACAAATTAACTAGCAAATAAAATTAAAATATTAACAACTGACAGTCAGTTTGTTCTTTGGTTCAAAGTATCATCAGACTTAATTAGTATTGACGATGATATAGTTTTTGGTATAGTATATATTCCTCCGGAATACACAAATTACTCATCTCAAGATGCTTACAGTCAGTTAGAAAATGAATACATTTTTATTTCTAATACTTATAAATATGTGTCATTGCTTGGAGATTTCAACGGACGAACAGCAGACGACGACGATTTTGTTATTATACATAATGATAAACATACAAATAATCTAACAGATTTTATAGAAAATTTAGTGTATATGCTTGACGAATTAAATATTCTAAAGAAAAGAAACTCTTTGGACAAGGTCAAACATGGATACGGAAAACGTTTGTTAGATTTATGTAAAGGAAACAATTTATTTATTGTAAATGGTCGAATTTGTAAAGATAGACAGTATGGTAAATTAACATGTAGAAATAGCAGCATTGTAGATTATTGTATTAGTAGTGCTGAGTTGTTAAAATAATTTACTAATTTTCATGTACTTGATTTTTGTACTTTATATTCTGATGTTCATTCCCCATTAGAGATAACTTTGACGAGCACTAAACAAGCTGTTGAAAGCAATCAGTGTTTAAACGTTGGAACAGATAAATGTGACCGTCCGGAAAATATCAAAAAGTGGGACAAGGATAAAACTTGGGATTTTCAAAATGGGATCATGAGATGTGGAAGTGGTTTACGCTCTAATTGAAGAGATTGATAAAGTTGAAGCAAATATGAACAAAAATAAATTGAACCTGATTGTTAATAACATGTGTGGCTTATTCTTGGACTCTGCCAGGGCAACATTTGGGGTATTAAACTAAGACTAGTGGTTCGAAGAAATATAAAAAGAATCCTGTAAAATTGGATAAAGAATGGTTTGACAGTGATTGTAAATTTGCTAGCCAAAATTATCGCAAGCTCAAAAGAAAATTTAAGAATAACAGTTCAGAACAAAACCGCCAAATTATGAAATCTTCGGAGAAGCAATACAAAAAGACTTTAGATTAAGTAATTAGTGCACATAGAAAGAAAATGGCTAAAAAAAATTAACATATTGAGATCCAAAAAAAAAAAGAGACCAACCCGACATCCCTATTACCAAATTGTTCGATTTTTTCAAAAACTTGAACGCCGCCCCAGATGATGAAGAAAACATAAATATTCCAACTCTAAACCCAAATGATGTTGACAGGCTTAATGAAAATTTAAACACGAGAATTTCAAAAGAGGAAATTCTTAAGGGCATTAAAAACCTGAAAAATGATAAAGCATTCGGGGATGATCGTATAATAAATGAATATATCAAGTCGACAGCTGGTTTATTCATTGAATTATACGAAAAATTATTTAACATTATATTTCGCACTGGTATTATTCCTGACAGTTGGCTGGTTGGTTACATTAAGCCTGTTTATAAAAATAAAGGTAGAAAGTTGGACCCCAAAAATTTTAGACCTATTACCATTTTGAGTTGTATGGGGAAACTTATACCGCAATTTTATGCGAGCGACTATATAAATCTTTTCTCCGAAGAATTTCTGATTTTAAACGAAAACCAATGTGGTTTTAGAAAGAGTTATTCGACAATTGATAATTTGTTTGTAATTCATTCATTGTTTGAAATTTTAAAATTAAAAAAGAAAAAAATATTTTGTGCATTCGTAGATTTTGAAAAAGCGTTTGACACGATTTGGCGAGATCCACTGTGGTACAAAATACTTTTAAATAATATGAATGGATGTATGTTTGATGTCCCGGTAATTGTAAATACGTAACAAGGTACTAAGTCATGTATTTCATATAACAATTCCATTTCTGATTTTTCCCATGTAGTAACGGGGTTAGACAAGGCGAAAATTTATCGCCTTTTCTTTTTTCATTATTTTTAAATGCTCTTGATTCATATTTGCAAACCTGTAATATAGAGGGTCTAAAATCAGTGTCAACAGAGTTTGAAGAAAAACTTGACATATTTTTAAAACTTTTTATCATTTAGTATGCTGATGATACTGTTTTGATGGCCGAATCCGCAACTGAACTCCAAAAACTTTTAGATTGTTTTCTAGATTACACAGATTTATGGAGGCTGAAAGTTAATGTTGATAAAACAAAGGTCGTGGTTTTTTTCAAGAAGACGACCATCATGTTATTTTCAATTTTTCTTTAATGATAAAAAACTGGACATCATTGATGAATTTAACTACTTGGGTATAGTTCTTACAAGAACAGGCAATTTTGATAAAACAAAACAGTTCAATGTAGAAAAGGCTACTAAGGTTCTTTACGAAGTGTTAAAACTCGGTCGTCTACATAATCTTTCTATATGTAGTCATTTGGATTTATTTGATAAAATGGTGAAACCAATATTACTGTACGTTTGTGAAGTATGGGGTATTGGAAATAATGACATAATTGAAAGGGTATATCTAAAATTTTGCAAATTATTATTAAGTCTGAGAACATCAACACCCTCCTACATGATTTATGGGGAGCTTGGGAGATATACTATAGACTTGGACATAAAAACTAGATTGATTTCATTTTGGGGGAAGTTAAACTCTGGTAAAGAGACAAAACTATCATATACTTTATATAAATTGTGCTATCACATGTCTATTAATGACAATGTGAAGTTTTCATGGTTAAACAGAATAAAGACTATTCTAAGTGAATGCGGTAATATAAATGTGTGGGAAACGCAGTCATTTATGAATTGTAAATGGTTTTAGAGTTTCATTCATCAAACTCAGACTTCAAGATCAGTTTGTACAAGTCTGGCATTCTTTGCTTGAAAACTCACCAAAAGCACTAAATTACAAACTTTTTAAAGATTATTTTGAAAAAGAAGATTATTTTGAAATTCTTGAGAACAAACTATCTATTGATTTGTGTAGATTTAGGACCACAAACCACAAGCTCCCTATTGAACAGGGTAGATGGAATAATATAGTTAGAAACAATAGACTTTGTCTTCTAGTTCTATGTAATAAACATGATATTGGCGATAAATTTCACTACATATTAGAATGTAAATACTTTGAAGAAAACAGGAAACAATGTATGTTACATTATTATTTTAAAAATGCAAATATTATTAAATACAAGCAGATTATGTCTTCAAAAAACAAATCAGAATTGATCAAACTCTGTAAATTTATAAAGATTATCAACACAGGTATGTGTGCTCCTGGCTAAATGTACTTCATATATTGTCTTAGCCATTGTTTTGTTGTTCTGTCTTATTGTAAATATTGTACATAAATGTCTTCTCTATACATATGTATATGGTTTATTGATTGATTGATTGTTGATTGTTGGTTGCTAAACGTCCAGTGGCAAATATTTCATACATATTCCAGGACGAGAACAAGTTAACAATAAATACAATAGGTAGGTTCTGTAAAAGAAGCGTCCGGGATTAAGGTCGGAGAAATTTAGACTGCCACGAGAAATAAGGGTTTATTGGATAGGGACAGAAATTTAGCCTTGCAACAGGTCGCCTACGGACCCCTCAAAGAGTTGTTGCAAGGGTTCTTAACGTGCAAAGAGCGTTGCACTCTCTTTACACGAGGCATCGGATTTAACGTCCCCATCCTGTCCGGACGTGGCTGCAAATTTGTACATCCCGCACAGCCAAACGGACGCCCCACTTTGGCGAGGGTTTTAATGCCGGTCGGAGGAAGACCAATGGTGACCATACTTCTATACCCCAGTCACCCAGAGCCGGGGGGGGGGGGGGGGGGGGTTATTGAGAATAAAGATATTAAGAATAATTTATTATTGTCTTCAATAAACACTGATTGTAATTGACTGGTTCAGTTTGTTTACTTTGTTAACTGTCTCATTTGATGTAACTCCTTCGTGTTTTAAAGGGTGTACTCCAGTTGATTCTTTCAAGTTTCATTAACGAAAAGAGAAACATTTCTTTGGGTTTGGTTTGTCGTCTGGTGCGAATATTTTTGAAACATACAGTCCTAGTAACATTATGGTGTCTATTTTTGAACTAGGTGTTTCAGATTTCTCGTATATCAATCAACCTTTACATTGTAAGTGACGAACACGTTTCATATAGAGCCTCAAAGTGTAGCTGTGATGCCAAAAAAGCAACTGCGTATGATCATATGATGTGCGTTTATAAATATCTCAATTGTTTACTAACACAGTAGTATAGTCTTCATCCTCATCTTAATACGTTTCGGTTGTAATTTTCTAATTAGTTTGAATATAAACCTGCTAAATCTGTAGACCTGGTCAATTTTACATAGAAATACGTGTGCTGGCATGGCATTATGTTGATAAAAAATGCTATTGGGAAATCGGTGATTTGGAATTCCTTTGTTACCTGAAGTTTGTATGTAACATTATCAAAACAGTATAATATATATGTGCGTGCTTTATGAAAAGATGCAAACGATGATAAGTGTGCAATGTTAAATAGGATAATACATTAAAACTATTCACAGGTATGTTTGATTATGCATGAGATGAAAATTAAAAACAAATTCTTCTTGCATCAAATTAATATTAATTCCATGATAGTAAATTCATATTTTTGAATTTTACAACCTTCTAAGATTTCAACTATATTTCAATCTTTTAATATATTTTTAAAGCGTCGTCACCTTTTATGAAATTTTAGAAGGATTCAGTTTGCGAAAAGCGTTTTGGTTTCTGTATGATTTTTTTTTTCTATTTTGATGCAAAGCCCGCAAATATTTTGGCAGTATTTTTTTCACCCAGAAGATCACTTACATGAGTCATGCCTTTATTATAGTTTTTCACTAATTGGTTTAATTATAATTGACATTTTCACAACAAAGACGTATTTCCTTCTGTAACCATAGACTACAGTCATATATCCTGCTATGACGTGTAAGCACGTGCAGAAATAATTAATGATTGCGTAACAATTCTGCATCAATGAAATATTTGATCTGCTGAAAATATATCAAATATTCAATTCCATGGCGTCAGCATGGTCAGTAGAACGCAACGAAACACAGCTTATCCTATTCCAATATTATACATACTGAACCATCGGAAATTGATTATGAAACCATTTACACACTAAACCATCATTGCAGAACGTTTAAATTAAACCCATTGCTAGATTGATGTACAAGAGATTGAATCTGACAGTTGTTTTACTGGGGTTGAATCTGACAGTTGTTTAACTGGAGTTGAATCGAGTTGAATCTGACAGTTGTTTTACTGGGGTAGAATCTGACAGTTGTTTATGGTGGTTGAATCTGACAGCTGTTTTTCGGGGGTTGAATCTGACAGTTGTTTTACGGGGGTTGAATCTGACAGTTGTTTTTCGGTGGTTGAATCTGACAGTTGTTTTACTTCTATGATTTGTTTCAAAGTTGTTCTGTAATGCTTTGATTTCGAAAATTTCAAAACTGAAAATAACACTTTGTTATTTTTATGCGTCCGAAGCGCTTTCCTGAATTTACCTTCTTCAGGAACGATCGAAGCCAAATATTTGGTAGCCAAGGATGTATAAGACCTGAAACCAGTGAAGAGCTATATGACCAAATGGGACATAAAAATAATAATAGCCAAATCCATTTAATGTCATCTTTGTCTGAGGAAGTTGGAACCTTTGTTTCTTGATAATTTCTAATTTAGTTTATAAATAGGAGAGAAGATACTTATGAGACAATCAAAAACTGTAAGTCGAGGAAAAAAGCATTAACAAAAATACCAAACTCCAAGGTAAATTAAATAAGAATAAAGGAACAAAAAAAGATGAAAAAACAACAGCATCAAAAAACCGCTAGTCGAGGAAAAAAGCATTAATAAAAATACCAAACTCCAAGGTAAATTAAATAAAAGTAAAGAGACAAAAAAGATGAAAAAAACAACAGCAGTCACAATAAAGAGTAAAAAAAAATATGACAATATTTTTTTCTCGGGTATGCTGTATAAGCTTCTGTCTATAACTAAGGTTTAAAATCGCTTCATTAAATCATTTGATTAAAATAGAAAAGAGAGAGTGCATGCTATAGGTACACGTACTCGATATATCGAAGATATTGTCTTAAATAGACGTGGCTGTCAGTTTATATTCCCTTTTCATTGCTTCAGTTTTGTATGTGTATACTTTTAGCCTTAATTGGTATTATAATTATTGCATTTAATACCAGAACATGACGGGTTTACTTAATTTTTCCTCAGTCAGAAATTTCATGAGCATGATCTTGTGATGTTCTACAGTATTAAATCCTTAATTGGATTTGCCGTTATACCATCATTTAAAAAAATAAGGAGATGTGGGAAGATTGACATTGAGACATCTTTCCAATAAGAACGAAGATGTGAAGAATTGCAGGTCACTGTACGGACTTCAACAATGAGCAAAACCTAGACCGTATGTAAGGTGAATTAAACAAATAAGTTTGAAATGCGTATTTTTTTTTATTACTAACAGAGTACATTATATCATTTTAGAAACAGACCATATGCAAGGATATGCATAAGATCTGTAACAAAGCAGCAAAACCCCTCAGCCATCTGTCAGTCATCTTTACATATGAGGAATATCACTAGAATGTGAGTTATATTTTGAAATGCAATAATTATTTTCTATACTGCTTCATCATTAAATACTTGGTAGGAAAGCATTACCTCTCTGGTGATTTACCTACACTTTTAAAAAAACGTCGTTTTAAGGTCTTGGAACAGTAAATGGGCTATGAAACAGATTTAATGTGCTTTCTATAAAAACGTTCACCTATTTTGAAAGAATTCAATCAGTAATATTTCAGATGATAAAAGAGATAAATGCATTATTTTTTTTCGGTTTTCAGTTATAGTTCAATGAGCAAAAATGTATGCAAAATTTACCAAAATCTGTGACATAGCCCATTTACTGTAGCTTGACATTAAATAAGACAACATATATATATATAATCTAAGACGCATTGTAAAAGAACATGCAGGATTGGTACTTTAATCTAGATTTATACTTCAACTATACATCATTCGACGCCTACACTTGTATCACGGTTAACAAAGGGGAATTTGACATGACAGTTGCACGTGTAACACACCCGTTCTTCGTCTGTACTACAGAATGTATTTATTATAAAAGTATTTCACTGAACTATTTATCCTTGGTGTAAAGATTGTTCTCAATCTTTCTTACAATACCTTTATTCTGTAGATATTTATTCTATTCAATAGCTTTTCGAAATACATTAGCCGCCAGGTTTTCTAAATAAAATAACAACTAAACTACTATTTTAAGAAATAGAAATTATTATTATTACTATAAATTACTACAAGGAATGAAAGTACAATATGTTTAACGGTTTTCTGTGATTTTCGTGCGTGAAGTATTTACCTATTAAGTTTCTGTAAAGATGAGTTCAAATTCGTTTTGCTATTCGGAAAATCCCCTTTTTATAATACTTAGCACGCCTTATCCTTGCGCGTAAGAAAATAGGTCGCTACTGGTCAAGGTTAATCATATAAATCACTGTCAATACATACGTAAATATTGGATTATAAAGAAAGCAATCACGATTTCATACGTCTCGACACCGATTTATCAATATAAAGCATATAAACACAAGTAACTAAAGAAATGTAGGATTAATAACAAGTTAGAAAACAAAGATGTTATTCGAATGCCACATGTTGGCAGAATTTCGTAACGCTAAATCGGCAACTGCCAATTTTGCCGGGAACAACGTTACGTTAACACAAAGGTAAAACCGCGTTATTGAATGTTCACAACACTGCCCTCCGTAAAAATAGAATTTCGTCTTGAAATTTAAATAATTGCGAAATATTAAATCATTAGATACAATTAAACAAAATCTAAACAAGCACCTGCTATCTCAATAGAATATTAAAATTAAGAAAATTTGTTTTTGTCAATGTTGACTAGATCACGAATATATCACAATTCTTGACACGTATAATAATAAAAGTGTACCAATGATATATAAAACAATATACATATAAATAATGTCAACAATTTTGTAGTTTTGTGTCTTTCAATATAATAAATAAACTGTTTATAAAATTTTCAATGTTTTCTTTGTCCAACAACTTCACTGTATTATTGGTTCGTCTCTTTTTGTCTTTCTTTCTGTATCCTCTTCTGTTCTTTTTTTTTTCTTTATGTGTCCTCTTCTGTTCTTTTCTCTTTCTGTGTCCTCTTCTGCTCTTTTCTTCCTTTTTCTCCAATCTTTTTGTGTGTCTTGAGTTACCTGTTTTTCATTCTCATGTTCTTTCTTAGTTTGGTCTAAATCTGTTTTACGGAAACTTTCTTTCAGTTGACTTATTTTTTCCACCTGACAGAAAAAGTTTCCATCCTCTTTTTTAACTGAAACATTTACAATTTCTTCCGTAACTGGAATATTTTGATTTTCTTCTGTTACTGGAACATTCACAATTTCTTCTGTAACATTTACATTTTCTTCTGTAACATTTACAGTTTCTTCTGTAAAATTTATATTTTCCTCTGTAACATTTTCATTTTCTTCTGTAACATTAACGTTTTCTTCTGTAACATTAACAATTTCTTCTGTAACATTAACATTTTCTCCTTTAACATTTACATTTTCTTCTTTAACATTCACATTTTCTTTTGTAATATTAACGTTTTCTTCTGTAACATTTACATTTTCTTCTGTAACATTAACATTTTCTTCTGTAACATTAACGTTTTCTTCTGTAACATTTACATTTTCTCCTTTAACATTTACATTTTCTTCTGTAATATTAACATTTTCTTCTGTAACATTAACGTTTTCTTCTGTAACATTAACAATTTCTTCTGTAACATTAACATTTTCTCCTTTAACATTTACATTTTCTTCTTTAACATTCACATTTTCTTTTGTAATATTAACGTTTTCTTCTGTAACATTTACATTTTCTTCTGTAACATTAACATTTTCTTCTGTAACATTAACGTTTTCTTCTGTAACATTTACATTTTCTCCTTTAACATTTACATTTTCTTCTGTAATATTAACATTTTCTTCTGTAACATTAACGTTTTCTTCTGTAACATTTACATTTTCTCCTTTAATATTTACATTTTCTTCTGTAACATTTACATTTTCTTCTTGCAAGAGCTCAGGCAACATCTGGACATCGACCTTGTCCGTCTGTGTACCCTTATAACTTGTACTGGTAATATTTCCTATATGTACATGCATGTCCTGCGTACTTGCTACCATGGGTTTTCTGTCATCGGCCATTACCGGCTCTACCATTGAATCTCTGATTGACAGGAACTCACTTCTTTCCGCTTCTTTGTCAATGATAAGCCCAGAATTGGTGTCCTTTACTCCGACTCTGGCTTCTCTATCAGTTTGTCTCTTAGTCTCACATTCAATCCGCTGACCATTAAACTGTAAGCCTTGCATAGGATTGATTGTGATATTCATTTCATCAATTAGGTCACAACCTAATAACATGTTATCTCCAATGGGTGCTACATAAACTGGCCATTTGAAGGTTTCACTTCCCAGATTAACTTCCACCTCTGTAATCCCTCTTGTTGTCAAGTTCTTACCGGCCTCAGCAACTACCAAATTTCTTGCTGCTCTCCTTAGTTTTGGCCGTTTACTCCCAGGAATCTGATTATACAACTTCTCACTTAGAACCGTCACCTCTGCTCCAGTGTCAATAACTGCATTCGTCACAATCTTGTTAATGACCACTGGAACTGTAATGCTAGCTGCTGTCACCCGAGCAATGATAATATTTCCTTCTATCCCGTTGATCGGTTCTGCACTACCCATTACCTCCTTTGGTGTGTTCTCTGGTGTGTTCTGTTGTATCTCCTTAGACTCCTCAAACAACATCTCTAGGCTTAAATCTAGGTCCCGTATATCTAGGCTATCTTCTTCAAATGATCTCTTTATATAAGCTGTATTCACTGATTTTTTCGGTTCAACCAAATGCTCTTTCATTTGGCAATGTTTCTCTTCATATTTCAAATTATTCTCTTTAACTTTTTCTTTACCATGTTTAGGGGCTGACACTTGGCCGATAGTCTCAACCCTTAGCAGTTTAAAGACTCTTCATTTTGGTTTTGACTCCTTTCATTATTCCATATAAAACCACTTCTGTTTTCTTTATGATAGGGGCTTCTCTTTTCTTTTGGACAATTTCGTATGTAATGGCCTTCCTCATTACAGTTAAAGCATCTGGAATTCTTCATCTTGGTCGTATGGTCTTTATACACTTGCTTATTTTGCCCTGGACTACTGTCATACTCCTGTTGTGTATAGTACTTTGCCATTTCTCTTTTAATGGTTGTCTCTAGTGACTCCGAAATTCCTCTTTCAAACTGAGTCATTCTTTCTTCTGTAACAAATCTTTTCCCTCCTACTTTTCTGACCTCTATATCTTCGGACCCGCAATCATTTCTATAAATGTCCTCTGTTGTACCAAGCTGACGGATGTTTCTATCTCTTGTACCTCTCTTATATGTTTCATACAGGGTAACTTGGTGTATTGCCTCTGTTATGCTGGTTATCCTTTTTGTCAGTAGCTCAATAGCAATACTCTGGTCCGGCAATCCTCTAAGCATATACTCCACACTGAGTGTACTGTGTGTTGCTGTGTCAATTGTGGGGAAAGACTTCCTGACCAACATCTCGACCCTTGAAGCATACTCCTGAATTGTTTCTCTATCATACTTTCTCAGAGTATGAAGCTCTTGTCTGTATGTTTCCGGGTACCCATGATCTCCAAATCTATTTGACATGGCTGCACAAAGTGCTGAAAATGATCTTTTTGTCTCTGGTGTAAGAAATGAGGCATATACCATTGCTTCATCTTTAAGGGCTGTAACCAGTTCTATGGCTTTGGTTGATGGAGTCCAATTGTTCATTTCTGCAATCAATTCAAATTGCATCACATATGCATTCCATGGATCCTTTCCGTTATAGAATGGCACTCTTGTTCTGCGTCCATTATCATTAAATCTTGGAACTTCTGATGTATTGATATACTGTGGTCTACTGGGATGCTGCATTGGTAACAAGTTTGGCTCTGTGATTGGTTGATACTGTTGGAAATTTCTATTTTGAACTGGATATTGTGAAAAAATACTGTTCGGGGCTTTATTTTGTATATATCGGCTATTCTGTACTGTATTTTGCGAATAGTTACTTCTTTGCATTGTATTATGAGGATATGTGTTGCTCACAAATTGACTCTGAGTATACATGTTCTTGTTAAGAACTGGATTCTGTGAAATATTGCTGCTAACAATATCATGGTTTACATGGGTATGGGTACCAGCATATACATTTGGCTCTATATACTCTGTTGACTGGGTAATTGTGTTAACCAGATTTTGATTAGGGTTTGTTTGACTTGAACTTGGTAACGGAAGGCTGTTTTGTTGGGCTGTTCTCTTTAATTCAAAATTTTCATTCTTTAAGGCATCTAATTGTCTTCTTAATTGTGTGAGTTCATCACTATCAGAATTGGTTGATCTTGAAATTAAAGCGCTATCACTTCGACTTTGAGTTGGAACAAGGAACGGATTAGTGTTATTCTCAATTTCTTTACTTATAGCAGGTAAGTTGATAGTATGATCCATGGTACAAGGATTTTCATCAGTCAAATGAGTTATCTCCCTTTCTCCTTCATTAATTGAAGTAGGCAATATATTTGGATACTTATTTATTGTCTCCCCATTACTGAATTCAGGGATATTAAACCTTGCATTAAAATAATCATGAGAGTTTCTAGATTCCCCTGAAAAATGGGCCTCCATATTCCCAGATGATATGGCATGGTTGGGAATGGCTAAACTACTTGGTGGGTTTATTCCAGATCCCCTTCCTCTTCCCCTTCCTAAAGACATTGATCCCGTAGACATACTAGGTTGTCTATTTCTCAAATTATACATCTTACTTTTGACTGCTAAATGGAATCAAGAGTTTCAATTTACTAATCAACTTGGATTAAATTTTATCCTTGTTAATCTTGTGCTTTATTTTTAGAATTGTTCAACTTAGATGACTTTTTATCCTTGTTGAAATTGATAAAGAATTTCCTATGCCTTACTTTTAAAACACAATTTGGATTATGAATCTATGCTTACTTTGTGAAATAGACTACAGTATATACATTACAAACTTGAAATAGACTATAGACATTCAACTTTGACCTTAATGAAATATAACTACAACTTAGATTTATATTTATCCTTGTTGTAAAACTTATTTTGTGAAATGTACTATTTAATTTACAACTTCGAAATAGACTATATTTTCTTTTAAAACTTCGACTCTATCGAAAAATTATTATAACTACAACTTGGATTTATATTTATCCTTGTTGTTAAAAATAAGCTTATGAAATGGACTATTTAATTTACAACTTTGAAATAGACTATAAATTTTACAACTGGACCCTATTGAAAAAATTATGGTTATAATATTATTATTCAACTTGGATTCAGATTTATTCCTGTTAAAAATAGACTGCTAACTTTAAAACTCAACTTGGATTAAAGTTTATCCTTATTGAATATGGTATTCAATATTAATCTAGCTCAACTTGGATTTTATTTTATCCTTGTTGAAATTTGACTTAAATTTTTTTATCTTTTAACATTCAACTTAGATTAGAATTTATCTTTGTTGATGTATACCCCTTAACTATTTTATTTCAACTTATAGATTCATATTTATCCTTGTTGATATATACTCAAATTTAATAATTATAACATTTTCAACTTGGATTAGAATTTATCCTTGTTGACATAGATTTTGATTAACTATATTATTTCTTTTCAACTTGGATTTATATTTATCCTTGTTGAATTTAAAACTACTGAAAGATATACTATAAGCTTAATTAATCTCACCAACTGTACTTTTCTTTTCTTTCACCTTTTGTTGAAGTGTCCTTTTTTATTATGTTCAGTTTTGTTTTTTTTTAAGTGTAAACAAATATGGACAGTAACAATTTAAAATATTTTTACTTATCAATTGCGTGCCTAATAAAATATTCACGTAGATTCTTAAAATTTTCTTTAAAAAGAAAACTAAATTCGCTGCCACCAGTGTAAAGATTGTTCTCAATCTTTCTTACAATACCTTTAGTCTGTAGATATTTATTCTATTCAATAGCTTTTCGAAATACATTAGCCGCCAGGTTTTCTAAATAAAATAACAACTAAACTACTATTTTAAGAAATAGAAATTATTATTATTACTATAAATTACTACAAAGAATGAAAGTACAATATGTTTAACGGTTTTCTGTGATTTTCGTGCGTGAAGTATTTACCTATTAAGTTTCTGTAAAGATGAGTTCAAATTCGTTTTGCTATTCGGAAAATCCCCTTTTTATAATACTTAGCACGCCTTATCCTTGCGCGTAAGAAAATAGGTCGCTACTGGTCAAGGTTAATCATATAAATCACTGTCAATACATACGTAAATATTGGATTATAAAGAAAGCAATCACGATTTCATACGTCTCGACACCGATTTATCAATATAAAGCATATAAACACAAGTAACTAAAGAAATGTAGGATTAATAACAAGTTAGAAAACAAAGATGTTATTCGAATGCCACATGTTGGCGGAATTTCGTAACGCTAAATCGGCAACTGCCAATTTTGCCGGGAACAACGTTACGTTAACACAAAGGTAAAACCGCGTTATTGAATGTTCACAACACTTGGAATGCTTTTGTTTGGTATATATTTTGTTGTTATCCTTCATCAAACTATCAAATCGGATAAAGAAATAAAAGCTTATAAAACTGTTATTCATTTTCGGATTTTTTTGTGTATATGTGTAATAAAAATAAGAAGATGTGGTTTGATTGCCAATGAGGCAACTCTCCACAAGAGACCAAATAACACAGAAATTAACAACTATAGGTCACCGTACGGCCTTCAACAATGAGTAAAACCCACACCCACATATTCAGCTATAAAAGGCCCCGAAATGACAAATGTAAAACAATTCAAACGTGAAAACTAACGGCCTGATTTATGTACAAAATAATGAACGAAAAATAAATATGATATACAGCAACAAACGACAACCACTGAATTACAGGCTCCTGACTTGGGACAGATACATACAGACTGGCGGGGTTAAACTAGTTTGAAGGCGCCAACCCTCCCCTAACTGCATGCATTTTTTCAGCAAGTTTTTGCTAAATTATTAAACAAATAAAGAGTTGCTTGATAAACATAAACTCTAACTGGAAGTAGCCTCCTTTTTCTGGGGGTACAGTTTGTGCGTACTTTTTCAGTGCCAGCTATTAATCTGCAGAAAGAGACGAACCATCTTTGTAACGGATTCTTATGTATAACAAATGTTGCTTCTCGTTTCAGACTTTAGACATGGATGACGAACATGATTTTTTATACTCGGCTGGACAAATAGAACAGCTCTTAAAATGTGCAGTATGTCTCGATAGGTTTACCAATCCAAAAATATTGCCATGTCAACATACTTTTTGTTCAACTCCATGCTTAGAAGGACTTGTCCATCCAATCACGAGATACATAAAATGTCCAGAATGCCGTGCAGAGCATCGTGTACCGTACGAAGGAATAAGAGGATTTCCAAATAATATTACCATCCAAGGATTTCTTGATCTGCGCTCTCAAAGAAACCAAAACAGGTATCAAGAACAAACGGGAGGAGCAATTGGAAATGTTGATCAAGCACCCCACAGAGCGAATTCCGCAGCGGAAGCGGCAGCAGATGCCGCAAGTGCATATATAAATGCCGTCGTTGATGAACAGACACCGTCAGTAGCTGCGGCATCACGAAGCGGTTGCACAGTTTGTGGTCGCGAAGCGTTTTTGGCTCGATGTGATCACTGTGACATGATTGTCTGTGTTTCGTGTCAAAACTCTCACACTGAACAAATAAAACTGGATATTGCACGTCTGACGGGACAGATAAGACGTGGTCTTCCTACTATATCTAACGCTATTAGTAGCATTGAGAGAAAGTCTACACAAATTCGACAGAGAACGGAAGCCATTAAATCCGATATTTCAGAAGCGATTGAACGTTACATGACTGAACTTAGAAATAGACAACGTCTTCTTCATGGTGAGGTTGAAATGTTTTTGCAAGGAGAGACTAGATCATTGTCAATGCATGTTGAAAATCTTGAAGTTGAAATAGCGAGTATTTCGAGTTTCAGTGACACGACGGATTCTTCTCTTGCTCGGTCGCAGGCAAACATACCTGTTAGGGATTTAGTCGATATACGAAGACAATGTGTAGAATACATGGAAGCTCTAAGAGGCTATGAGAATGGCAATTTCGAGGTTCCCAGAGAGCGTTATCTACAGTTCATTGTTGAAGAAAATAGATTGTTAAATGCAATAACAAACTACGGTGAAGTGGTTGTTTCCAATGTTCCACCAGAATCCACTACTCCGTCAAGAGAAGAATCTCCACAAGATGCCCCAGCATCACAGTCAACACCTATCGTATCGTCGTCACCAGCAATACCAGTTTCATCGACATTATCAACTTCAACTTCAACGCCTTCATCGATTTCGACTTCATGGGCGCCTTCGATGGAAGCAGTTGATCGCGCAATCGCTCTGATACGATCTGGAGGCAGAGAAAATTTTCAAACACCAAGTCCTGGACGCTCTCTGACTCCAGAATTCAGACCCCTTCCACCAAATGGTGGTACAATACATCGACGAAGTTTGCAAGAGCGCAGGCGACACCACATGACTGATAGCAGATTAGCAGGTTTGTTAAGTGGCAGTGCTCCTTCCGTTTATAATCGTACAGCCACTCAGCCGAGAAGGCAAAGAAGTTTAACCACAGGTGCGACATTAATGGATATTCAAGGAGCATCTGGCTTTTACCAAAGACCCGTTCAACACTCAATTGAAGAAGAAGAACCCGCACTCGTTTATGCTAATGCACGTAGTCGGACTTTTGAAAGAGAGGAAAGTCCAGACCCGGGACATCCATTATCACGTGTTAATTCGGCTGAAGCGAGACTAAGATCAAGGCCTGCTGTAAGATTTGATATTAATGGCTCTGGAGACTCAGATTCCGGAGAAGAACAAGTTATGAATTTACAGGTGGTGTCTTTTCAAGGAAATGAAAGTACAATGGTTTCTGAAGCGATAAATAATTATCAAGACAAAGGTCGGGCTATTATAAGGTTTGGAACAAGAGGTAGTGATGAAATGCAGTTCACTTGGCCACGTGGTGTGGCAGTTTCAGGTCGTGATAATACAATTCTTGTTGCAGATAGTAGCAACCATAGACTGCACGTTTTCGATTCAGTAGGACGCTTCATTAAAACTTTTGGATCATACGGTCAGAGTGATGGCGAGTTCGATTGCTTAGCTGGTGTAGCTGTGAACACTTTTGGCCAAATAATCACATCTGATCGCTATAACCATAGAATCCAAGTATTTGATCACAATGGTACGTTTCAGCATATGTTCGGAGAGGAAGGTGTAGATAATGGTCAACTCCTATATCCATGGGGCGTTGCATGTGATAAAATGGGTTTCATTTATATATGTGACAAGGAAAATCACAGGATACAAGTATTCCAAGCGAATGGTAGTTTTGTTCGTAAGATAGGAGGACTTGGGCATAGGTTTGGTCAAATGGAAAACCCCCACTATCTAGCGATAAGCCCCGACAATCGCATATACGTAAGTGATAGTAGTAATCACCGGATACAAATTTTTAGTATGTATGGTGACTTCTTGTTTAGCTTTGGATCACCAGGAACAATGCAAGGACAGGTAAAGTTTCCTAAAGGAATTGCTATAGATGAACAAGGCTTTGTTGTGGTGGCGGATAGTGGCAATAATCGTATTCAAGTCTTCCATGGCGACGGGCGATTCTATTGTATGTTTGGAACTTATGGGAGTGGAAATGGTCAGTTCAAAGGATTAGAAGGTGTCGCCATTTTAGCAAACGGAAATGTGGTTGTCAGCGACAGAGAAAACCATAGAATACAGATTTTTTAAAGGATACAGGTTGTGAATATAAAGTTCGTAAACACAAATAAGACATATCATACAAATTATGTGAACCGCTCGTTAGACCACAATGAGGTATTGGTTGTACTATCAGTTAGTCCTAAAAGCATAAACTTTGAAAAATATGTCAATTAATTTTTTTGCTTTGGTAATCCAGTTAATTATTATGGTTATTTTTTTGGCAAAATTATTATACTAAAGTAATGTCATTGTGACGTCGTTATTGATATATATGTATCAGACCACAAATTACGTTCTATAATTAGTTTTCGACAGGCTATTCTAAAACATGTTTTTCAAGAGCATCTTTTTAATAGCGATGTATGTTTTTGGTTCACGTTTTGCTAAAGGAAAAAGAAACAAAATGTCAAAATAATTCTGGGATTTTTTTTCGAAAAGTAAATGTTGTTGTTATTTGTTAAGAACTATTTACTTGTGATTTCAATGAACCATAGAATTGACTGAATTTTCCCCTCTTCTTTCAAATTTTGGAAGGAATGTGATGTGAATAAACGAAAGAGATTTTATTTTGTCTGTATACCTAAACAGGTACAATTATGTAATATTTTCAGAATAGAAGGTAAAAGCACCATAATTGTCCATGACACCATATCTCTACATGGTTTCGCGCTACAATGTGAACGTTCTTTTATACTTTTGTAGGCTTTTACAACGAAGGTTTGTTATGATTTTCTTTCACAAGTCAGATAGCTGAAAAATCGATAAAATAGAAACTTAAAATCCCTTTCCAGTTTGGCAAATGACTTTATGATATCCTTTGGAAACACCAACACATACATATTAAGTGTCTATCTAATCATTTCATAGCAGATGCATTAAAACAACTGTAATAATATACCCTCAGTAGCTATTTGCTGAGTGCTGTAAACATAATCCATTCATGTAATGCAATTCAATACTTAGTCTAATAATTTGAATAGTAAATTTTGAATATTTAAATATCCACTCTAGTCAAATTTGCGTTTTCTATTTTCATTTATTACTTTATATTTCGTTCTATGTCAAATTTAAAAAAAACAAAGGGAAAAATCATTTCTATGATATTAATTTTTAAGAAATTATTCCGTGGTAAACACTACGGTATGTACAGACAGTACTGCAGAGGGCCAAACAAATAATATTAAACGCCTAGCTAAGATCCTCAAACACACATAAATCAAAACAAAGCATTCGGGACACAATTTTCCTTCGAAATCCAACTTTGTTTTACTATACTGCAAGGGGCAGATTTTATGCTTTTTAGAATATGTTTCCAAATAAGCAATAAAGATTATAGATTGTCCTGACACTGTATGAATTCTATTGCCATGGGGTGTTTACCAAACAACGATCTATATATGGTCTACAAATTTACGGATCCTGCTGTATGACGACTTTGGGTTTGTTTATATATCGTGCAGAGCTTACAAAATAGCCACTGTAAATTTCATGTTAGAAACACATTCTTACTGTTTTACTGCCGATTTTTTGCTGCAGTTTATTTCCGTTTTCTATCCCTTTTTTATGCAATTACTGTTCGACAATGTAAGACGGATATAGAAGTTGTTAGCATTTCATAGTTTGAATCATGTGAAATATGCCCATGACTTCTGTGTTAAAGTCTCATGGATACGTTTGGGTTGAAAAGAATACCCGAAACACCAGTCGAGATGTTCACGTGTGCAATGTTTTTAAAAGATGTTTTATTATTTAAGTTTAAGTATTTGTATGTATTTTATATTGTATGCAATGTAGAATTGTTTTTAATTCACGTGCTCATCATTTCTTGAAATTATTTATTTATTTGTGAACATTAGCACTAAAGAAGTGTAGATAACTTTTATTTCAGTGCACTATTTCACAGTTTGTATATTTTCGAAAACACGAACAACCAATGGAATAATTATTAATTTTGTTTATATTGGAATATTTTCTTCATGTGGACATTGTATTTAAGATGTAGTGCTAACCATTTTTCGTATACAAGGCGTCGAAAATCGCAAAAGTCAAGACATAGTGAATGCTTTTTAGGTCTTAATAATATGCCAAGGCTAGTTTATGATATGCTATTTAAGTATGCCTCAGCATCAGCGGATTTTATATCCACAAAGATTACATATCCCTGCTCTACAATCATTAGAATTGAGAATGGAAACGTGGAATGTGTCAAAGAGACAACAACCGACCAAAGAACAGAAACATTGCACGTTTTGCTTATTTTACATACTAAGTGTTTTACGTAAGTACTAATCATTCATTTTAGATATAAGGTCACATTTAGAAATGATTAATTATTGAAAACTAAACCCATGAACATACGTCATACTTGCTGTATGGGAACATTCGTCAGATTAGATTGATTTTGCAATTATTGTTGAAAGCGGGTGAGATATTTTTCATACCTCGATCCAACGATTATGTTGGGGTCATCTTGTCAGGTCTTTGGTCATGTTTTTCTGCAATTACTAGTCTAAATATTACTGTATCTCTCGAATATTTCACGAACGGAGTCATTTTCAAATAAACCTCGGAGTCTTTACTCAATTTTTTTGTATCATAGCTTTATGTATACTTCGAGATGCTGGCATCTTTTAAAAAGACTTATCATATTATCAATAAATACAGATAACCCAAAACTGCAAATTTGATAGGTGTTTTACTAATCTAAAGAAAAAAAGAGAAAAAGAGAAATAACATGCTGTTGCAAATACATTTTGGCATTATCTTGTAGATAAAAATTTAATTAATTACTTATATTGGGTATCGATTAGTGCAATAATTTACTAAATCGTTTCATTTTTACAATGATTTATCAAAATTGTCATCAATATCAATCTTGAGAACTGAATTAGAACTTGATTGTATGGATATTCTTTAAACTTTTTATTAGAATGTTCATTTTTGTAAAACTTTAAGGTTTATTACCTCTTATACTAACTTTGAGTGAAACAAATATAAGAAAAAATGGAAATAACTTTTTACTAAAATTTGATGTACTATAGTCCCGCCCGACGCAGTGACCGTAAGCGTTTATTACTACATTATTAGACACGTGGACATCTCAGTACATATCTTTCAAACCTCATTTTGAATCAAAGCCTTTTTTTATTTAAATAAAGGGATTGAGATAATTTGTTTAACAATAAAACTTCAATTGAACATGGGTAACATTTTCACTTTTCACTTTTCTGTTTTCTGTTTTCTATACATTTGTAAAGGTGATTAAGTGAGCATCATGACAAATACGTTTGACCAGTCATCATACAGTATTATATTAAAATATGTCTATTCTGTGCCAATTCTTAAAATGCTAATCAGATGTAAATTTTTTTGTGTTATTTTGTTTTTTGTTATTAAATTATGATGTGTTTATCTTTATTCTATAGTCTCTCAGGATGAAGTTAAAGGAGGGAGGGGACAATAAACCATTGGTCATTACACGTAGAGTAACATCTGCTTACAGGTCCGCATTCACAGCCACTTTTGGGGCAGCACCATATGTAAACACGTGACCTTAGGAGAGAATGAATACGGTACAAAAGGTGACGTATTGGTGCTGAATTACTCCTATAAATCAAAATAAGGTGATGTGATATGATTATCATTGAGACAACTATCCATAATGACCAAAGAAGGAATAATTACAGTTCACCGTACATGTCTCGTATATGAACAATTCATTGGCTTTTATTTTCTGTGAACAAATAATTATCTTACTACAACCACATAACGTGGTGTAAGGATCCATTTTTATTAAAGATGAATAGTAGTCTGCTGGGGAAATAAGATCAATCTGACCAAAGTTCCATGCTTTAATAACCGATTCACGTTCTTGATCAGTTCTCGCATAATAAGTGACCTACAGTTAACAAAAAGACACACCAATGTGACAACTATCCACCACAGTTAGAATGAAATGGATGTAAACAATTATAGATAATCTTGCGGCCTTCAACAATGAGGAAAAACTCATACCCTATAGTCGGCTATAAAAGGCTATAATTTATAACAAAACAATTTACGAAAAACAAATATGCCAGACATGAACCAACGACAAACATTGAACTACATGCTCCTGACTTGGGACAGGCACATACATAATCTGGCGGGATTAAACATGTTTGAAAGCCCTAACCTGGAACGAGACTGGTGTAACAGTACAACGTAAGAACAAACTATAAAAATCAGTTGAAAAGGATTTAAACTCATCAGATCGATACAAAGCAGAAAAAACATATAACAAAAACACAGGCCGGACGTGGCAGGGTATTTACACATCCCTACAAACAAAAAAGACACAAAGTACAGATCTGAGAGTACTCGGTTACTGACAGCTTGTTCAAAGCCAATAACAACTAATAAAAAATCATGTATCTAAGACTAAAATATCAATCCGTACACATCCAACATCCAATGTATTTAGTGTAAAACTTATTCCCTGATACTAATTGACCAATAATTATTTATAAATTGTTAACGTTGCATCGAGATGAGTAAATGAGCAAACCACCTATTTACTCTGAAACACATTCTGTATGTGCCTGTCCTAAGTCAGGAAGCTGATTCATTGGTTAGCTTTGGTTTGCAAGCTGTCATACGTTTATTGTTTTTAGCAAAAATTAGGTCCCGTTGATTTAATCTTTTAATTTGTCTGAAATTGTGTCGGGTCATTTTTAACTTACTATGAAGTCGTATAGTGACCTATAGTTGTTTATATACTTTTCCTTTGGTCTCTGGTGGATAGTTGTCTCATTGGCAATCATATCGCATTGTTCCTTGTGACCTATTGAATTAAACTTATATCACCGGGTTTGTACATCTGTCACCGGGGAAACTGGGTGACTTGTAAGGTTGCGTAACAAGAGCCTGACTGAATGGCCTCTTGTTACTGAAACTGTGTGATGCACCTGATCACACAACGAACGATTGCTCTGAATAGCAATAACACTTCTGAGACTGAAACTCTGGTGAAAACTAACTGTTGAGACTCTGGAACTAGCGATGAATAAACCAATAATTCAGCATGGAATACTAATACTTTTATTACAGATGGACTGTGTTCAGTGTAAAGTCCTGAGTCCAAATCTTGCTTATAAAAATTATAAACAAGTATTTATACACAATTGAATTGACAAGTATAGACATAACAAATAACAATTAATTTGAGTAATATTGTTCACTGACAAGGATTAAACTATTTTTAGAACTTGAAGAATAAACTTAATTTACTAATCTGATTATGATATTTAAAAATATATAATAATGAAAAAGGTATAATGTCACTAATTAGCTAATAGAATAAAACATGTCACTCAATGTCCAAACTGAGAATTAAATTGCATATCAAAGCATGTTGATTTTAAGTCCTGGATATTAAATGTAAATAGAAACGAAAACATAAATTAAAAAGAAATTATGAAACACAGAGAATTAAAGTCCAAAATATCAAAATTGAGAATTTTATATTAAAGTCCAAAATAATAAACGAAGCTGCATTTTCCTCTGTCACATATGCCTCTCCTCCC